GGGTGGGGGGTGGGGGGTGTGGGTGTGGGTGTGTGGGGTGGGGGTGCGTGGGAACTTTTATTATCAACACTCACACCGACACCCACACCCACACCCGCACACCCACACCCACACCCACACCCACACCCATACCCACACCCACACCCACACCGACACCCACACCCACACACCCCACACACCCCACACCCACCCACACCCACACCCAAAAACCCGATTGAAAATTTTGAGAATCTGACTTCAGATTCGGATCCTCTGACCCCGTTTTCCTTTCGTTAACCTTTATAACATACGGTTATTTTCCCGAAAAACCCCTCTGCCGACCCAAAAACCTCAATTCAAAACGTTTGAAAATCTGACTTCAGTATCTCAATGAAGGGTCATGCGGGGACCTCTACATGTACCCATCAATTGATAGAGCATCCTCGATAACCCTATGATCGACCCGAACATGCCTATGTGTTTCCCGTACAATAAGAGAAAGAAGACCTCCTGAAATCTAATTGGCCAATTTTTGTACTGATAAAATGGAAGGATTCTATTTCTCAATGAAGGGACCGGGGGGAACCCTCACATATACCCATCAATCGATAGAGCATCCTCGATAACCGTAGAATCGGCCCGAACATGACTATGTGTTGTCCATACAATAAGGGAGAAAAAGCCTCCACAAATTTCAATGTATGTTTTTTTGACCTTTGACCTTTGATCCCGACTAGCAAACAAACAAACAAACAAACTATTTTTTTTCATATGACCCTTACTTCAGTCGAGGGAATAGAGCAAAAGACGATCTATCTGTCCATAACAAAAAGAAATTTTTCTGAAGCGTTCTATACAAAATTAAGATGCGGGGACCACTACTTTTGGTATGTCCTGAGTAATTGTGTTACATAATTGTGTTACACAATTGTGTATGCTTTGTTAGTTCTCTCACAGAAATTGCTTTTCTGCTTATTGACAAAGAAAAGAAACTTTTTTAATGTAATTTTTTTCTTTATTTTGGAGATTTGAGCAAGAATTCGATCGAAAAGAAAAAAAATAGACGCTGAGCCGAAAACGGTCGTCAGGTCTAAAATGCTACTTGATACAATAAATATCAAAATATCCGATCAAATTAGCAGTAAACAGATCAAACTATTTCAAATCAAGGATACGAGTCAATCTATTAGGCTCAATTTTTGCTTTTCAGCAACTGATCTTTTTATCGATAGGGTCCCTTGAGTTGAAATAAATAAAGAATAGATGCAGAATTCATTTGCTCAAGCGTTTCGTGCTTATTAAAATAAGTAACGCTCGTCGTATATGATTCGTTCAATCCTCGACTGTAGTATTTAGTATCTATAGCGAACCTCCCACATATTTCTAGTTCTTAACGAGTATAAATAGTTGTTTACTTGTCAGATTGCTTGGATTCTTGAAATTCGTCTGTAATTAACGTTTTCTTAATCGTTCGATGCATTCATATTCTTGTGTTTTTATTCAAAGTCAGCAGATGTTTTAACGAATAATTGCGGAAAAATGAGTAGCTATCAAAAACCTGACTATTTTCATATCGAATGATTCGATTTCACGTCGTTTTTATCAATTACTTTTTTCTATAAAGACTTTAAAATGCAATTGAAGTTAATTAGTATCATCTTTCTTTGTGTACTGAGATTAGGTGAGGTGCTGCTTCGCCCACAGTAACTTTGAAAAGTACCACTGATCCTTTCAGCAACAATAAAAGCACCTTTCTGATTCCATTTTGCTTTAACTTCAACGAAACTGGATTCAATGGCTTTTCATTACTCGATTTTATTTCTACTCAGGTAATTAGAAAAGCTTTCATCGTTCTATTCACCCATTACCTCGTTGTGAATCTAGTGTATTGACGGCACGAGTTAACTCTCAATTGTGCCGTGGAATACCTCAATATGGTCGTTGTTCTTCCAATACTGCATGTGGATGTTTTCATATGGAGGGCGCTCCGAACATTGGTGTTTGTGGCTTCCAGTGGGTTGATTGTCTTGATTTAAATCCTTGTGATCTAAATGATGGTAGTTGTCCTGAAGCTGACCAGATTTGCGTTAAGCATCCACGATGCAGTACTGCTCCTGTTTGTTATCCTGCATCAATGATTCAATCAACAGTTTGTCCATCAACCAAACGTAAGAGAGAAAATATTCAAGGATAAATGTTTAAAGACATTTTGTATGGAATGCTTTGATAAATTTTTGTTTTGATACCTAGCAGCAAGTACTACATCGACAGCTACAACAGCGACTACAACTGAAAAATCTGGTAAATATCTTCAACATAAATGAGTAACATTCATAATAATTCATTTGTAGTGTTCGTCCCATTACGTGCAAGCAAGGTTGATATTCCCCCGAATCCAAAATGGCAAACAGAGGGTATTACAGTAGCTGAAGGATATATATTACCCGATGGAACTAACGCAACCAACAATCTCTACTATCCGATGGGTATATTTGTTGCAGATGACGAAACATTTTATGTCACTGATCCGAACAATAATCGAGTTATGGAGCTAAAATCAGGCGTAACCACTGGAAAAGTTGCTGCTGGTGGAAACGGCAGAGGCAATGAGGCTAATCAATTATCCGGTCCAACAGATGTGATTGTTGACAAACAAACAGAGAGCCTCATCATTTGCGATAATAATAATAAACGAGTGGTTCAATGGCCTCGTGTGGGTGGTAAAAGCGGAGAAACCATAATACCAAATGTCAATTGTTATGGTATCACAATGGACGAAGATCGAACATTGTATACTGTTGGCTACGACACAGATGAAGTGAAACGATTCCGAAAAGGAGAAACACAAGGTACCGTAGTTGCCGGTGGTAATGGACGTGGAAATGCTGCCAACCAACTCAATTGGCCACAGTACATCTTTGTCGACCGAGATCGTTCAATTTACGTAACTGAATGGTACAGTAATCGTGTAACAAAATGGGTAGAAGGTGCAAAAGAAGGAATCGTCGTTGCTGGTGGTAACGGACGAGGAAATGCTCTTAACCAATTAGCAGGTCCTCAAGGAGTCCTTGTCGATCAATCGGGCGCTGTATACGTAGGAGATGGTGGCAACGGTCGAGTCGTTCGTTGGCCTAAAGGAGCCATCGAAGGTATTGTCATAGCTGGTGGAAATGGATCAGGAAAACAAGCAAACCAACTCGCCTATTCCTATGGTATATCATTCGACCGGCAAGGCAATCTTTACGTTGTTGATCATTGGAATAGTCGAGTACAAAAATTTAACATCGTATAAAATATTTAAGA